GATTTACGGAATACATTACAAATGCCTCATTGGCCAGGGTGCTGGCATTAGGTCTGTACCTTAACAGGAAATCAACAATGCCAAAGATGAATTCTGGCAGCTTGTTGGTTGACTGCACTGACTTGGTCGTACTTGTGAGGCTATCTGTTGGCTGGTAAAAATTTCCACCAGGTAGTTGATCACGAACTGCTCGTTGTAATAACACAGACAACCCCACAAAGATGGACTGCGCAAGAGGTATGGCAATTTCATCCACGGTGGTATTTTCCTCCACAAGGCTGTCATATATTGCATCTTTGTATACCAGATCTTCAGCAAATGGATGGTCTTTTGCCTGGAGGAAATCGGTGGCATCTTCTGACGCACGCGTAAAAAACTCCAGTAGTTGGCTGTAGCTGTTATTTAACTCCATAATATGCCTGCTGCCTTCAATAATTCGCCAGAAAGGGCCAGTTACCAATTTGTCGATGATACCCAGTACTTTAACACCAGCCATGTGTAGTGGATCTTTAATACTGAGTAGAAGGGCTTTCTGGAGACCATTGGAGGCACCATGTACATCTTCGAAGAAGGTGATAATATGTTGACGATGGTAATACACGCGTGCAGCCAGAAGAAAGATGACGTTGAAACGATTTCCTCTAAATGTGTGCAAATAATTTCTGTGCTCTGTGGAAGACAGGAAGCTGGTAAAATCAGCATATGCCCCAGATCTTTCATCCCCACCTCTTGCAAGGCATTTGCAGGCCATCCTTACCAAGTTCAGTGCACCAGTATCTTGGAATCCATGGATGGATCTCTCACTGCTCTGATCTTCATTGATGGAATGTGTTGTTTCAAATTTCTGGATGATCTCTGATGAACAATCTGCAAAGTTGACAAGTAGGTGTAAACCGCAAAAGAAGTTATTCATCTTCGAGTACGCCTCCTGCTCATCATGACTCATGTTGTCCCAGTTAGATATTACCTCTGGTAGAACTTCTTTTCGGTATAACTCCAACAAGTCGTTGAATGCCACGTTGGTCTTGGCACGATCACTCATGGTGTTCGTAATATGACTTAGGATTATCTTGCCTACTTCACTTGTTGATGCTTCACTGATGTCCATCAGGATCATCTGGAAGGTTCGGAGCAGGGAGTGTGATGATTTATTCTCCATCTCACGTAATCCAAGTACGTAAGTCTTTTGCTCATCAGTAACTACATAGGTGTTATAGCTGTGGCCAAATTTGCGTGTCTCATCTTGATAGAGACACGTATCCATGGCAGGTGGTAGAGTAGCAGCAATATGTTTGTGGCAAACAGACAATCTCGAGTCCATGATGTTGTCTATTGTTCTTCTCGCTGGTAATTTATTTGCCTGTTTGCCACACAATAATAAAACTTCAGTTATGACATCACTTATCTTGCCACTTGCCACATTTAATTTGCCTAAATTCATCACGCACTGCATGAGTGCAGGGGTGTATGTTTTTGATAGCTCGTCGTAAATAGGCACGGTCTCCTCTTCCAAAATTGATTGATAATAATCTCTTTCTTGTATGACTTCTGTGATTTTTTGCCGTAATTCTCGTACTACTGCATTGTTTTTTTCACTTTCCTTTTTGCTATTCTCGAAATGCATCTCCACTATAGAAATTGCTTTCTTCAATCGGTGATTTTCTGAAATTAAATGCTGATTTTTGTTTTTCAAAAATATATTGTTTGTAACTCTTATGGCATACATTTTTGCCTTTCTTTGGATACTTTGGCTGACTGTTGCTTTTTTTTTCAATGATGAAACTTTTTTTTGGGCTCTTGTCAATTTTCTTTGTAACTGATGTTTCTCTTGAGTTTTGTTTTTCATGAGACTTCTTTTGCTGTCGAGCTGCACTTGCAGCTTCTTTTGCTGCTGCTGCATTTTTTTCAGTTTACATTCAGTACTATGTTCAATTTCATGAATATCCTTGGCTAAGTCATCCACAACACATCTCGGGACGAGATCAGATGACCTACTTGCTTTGACTTTGGGGTCTGAATGGTAAACAGGAATGGAAAAGTTACCTCTCAAAAATGCAGTTCTTTTTTCCCCTTTTAGTTTAGTTACATCCTTTTTAAGTTTGTAGAGCTTCGATTTTAATGCTGGGCCATTGATGGAGTTTGGTGTGATGCCATGATCAGAAAATTTGGCCACCAATGTTTCAGTAACTGTTTTGTTGGCTTCTTTGGATGCCAAACCACCTTTGAAAAGTTCCATAGCAACTTCTTTTGTAAGGTTAGCCATTTTAATACAAAAAATAAAATAAAACCACCAACTCACCAATCCAGATATATGTTTTGAAGTGTTATGGTGTGTTAGCTGCAAGCAAAGCCAAAAAATAACATTAGTCATTTTATTTCCGGTTCATGGCCAAAACAAAATCAAATTCATGTGTACTTTTTTAATTTACTTTTATTTTATTTCTGATCATTGGTTCTTGAAATAATAGTTGAATACTTTGGGTAAAAAGTACATTAGTCCAGACAATTTGTATCAAATAATATTGGGAAAATACTTTATTTAGGCAGTGGAAAACAACACAAGAACATTCAGCTACTTGTCTTTTTTGTAAATTAAAAATCTGATTCGGTTTGGGTTTCAATTCCCGAAAAATCAGAGGAATCACTGGCAAATGTTATTAAACCAACATTAGAGGTTAAATAAAACTTTTTAAAATGAAAGTAAAAAGTTGGAATTTTATCCAGAATAACAAAATAATTGTACTTTACAAATGACTCAATGCCATGTGCAATGTGCACAATAGACACTGGATCATCATTATCATAATTCTCCAAATCCTCCATTATCAACAGGTCAATGTTTTTGTCAAAGTTACGACAAATTATATCTTCAGTTCTGTTCAGAACAATGTCCCACATCGAGCTTTGCAGAAGTTTCTTGATGTAATACACCAATTTTACCTCTTCAGGATTCTTTATCAGGACATAATTGTCCAAGTGATATTCAATTTGATGTAGGCGCAAAGTTGGAGGAAAGAACCCGTGTTGCATGGATAACTTCAGAGTTACGATGTTTGCCATATTAAAGATTCCTGGAAACAATTGTAAGTTGTGCTCCAGATAACCAATTCATTTTAGTACATTCATTTCAATATCCCCTCCAGATGGCCAGGAAATTGCTTTTACATGTCATGATCCAAAGTGTTCAATATTTTAAAGTGATTTACACTAGTCAGACTTACCTTGTTCAGAGATGCTTTGTCACAAAAGGTAGAAACAAATAAACTCAATACTACTGTATATTACTTCATCAAAGACCTGTAAAAAAATTTAAAATACAGTTGATAAAGTATAGAAAAAAATTACACCGTAGATCCCATGTTAGCTCATACTAAGAACACTTATTATGTCATTTTAAAACATGTATGGGACAATCAAACTAGCTTTTTACGTTTTCTCCACATTTCTTGAAAAACACGAAAAAAAGACCCATTTGTACAAACGATCGCAATGACCCCTAGGAATATACATAATGATTACAGGCTATATACCTGTTCAAACCGGATGTACTAACTCATCATCAAGTACAGTGACTATTTCATCATTTCAAATGGCAAGTTCACTACAAAAACCATGATTGAAAATTCCTAAACACATTGGTATTACAACCTTATATACTAAATATATCTACAAAGAAAGCTGTTGAAAAATACCCACTCGGAATAACGCACGATACTGCAGGAAGTGAAACTTGATTCACATACAAGAATGTGACCTGATAAGCAGAGGTCAGGCAAACAGCGCCCTCGTTAGTTTGTTGCCATTGCTACCATAGCATTATGCTCCAGTCAATGTCAACCCCCACCCTCCCTACCTCGGGGTTTAGTGGGGGATTTGGAAATTATTGTTGTAAAATTTGCGAAATGCCCCACCTTCTGGGGCAAGATGGATAGGCAAATCCCCACTCAAAACAAACCCCCACATTTCTCCCACCGATCGCCACTGTGGGTCATTCCAGTTTTTGTCCACACCCCCCCTACGGATGGTTTAAATCCGAGGGGTCATATTTCTACAAAAAGTATGGATGGTTCAATTCCGAGAGGTGTCATTTTTTGACTATTTTTTTTTCTATATCCACACCCCTACAGATGATTTAATCCGAGGGGGGTCATATTTTTGATTAATTTTTTTTTCATATTATCCACACTCCCCACAGATGATGTGAATCCATGCGGTCGTAATTTTT